CCCCCCCCCCCCCCCCCCCCCCCCCCCTCTCCTCTCTTTTTTTATTTAATCATCTGGATTTATTGAAAAACGAGGTGTTTCTCTGAAAAACTATTTCTTTTTTGAATAGTCACAAATTAAGGGATGAAAGTTGAAATACTAAGGAGAACAAAGAAGATAAGGGTATAAAAGTCTACATTTATCATGTAGATATGCGCTAACTAATTCCCTTTTCTCCTTTCGAGTTTGATTATGAGTTGTCTCCGACATACTAATTTTCCGGCCGATATACATCTTTGTTGTCCAGTTTCAATAAATTGGAAATTAAAGGAAAATTGAAAAGTAAATCAATGTCAGATCTCATTATCTGTAAATTTTTCATATCTTGACAAGTAAAAGAGACTGACCTTAAAGCCTTGCTATTGATTAACCGAGCAAATACAAAACTGTATAGAGAAAACACGACCATCAATCTTTGGATTTGATATAAATCAAAGTTTTTTTTTTCACATGTGAAGAACAAAGTTCATAGAAAAGAGATAGAAGAATATCTGAATGAACCTTGTTCTAAATTTCTAATACCCTACGACCTCAGATTTTTTTTTTAATATATCCCTACTCTAGTAAATCTTTTTTTTTTCCTTTTTAATTACAAAAAGTGGCTGATTATGAAAACACCTTAATGATTTTATGTATTTTCCGGGTCCAACTTAGCTAACCCAACGTCAACTCAGCCCACCCCAGGCGTAATCAGGTTACCCTAATTTTTCTTACGTCTCTCTCTTTTTCTCCATAAAATAATATATTTTTGTATCCTCTCTCTCTCTCTCTCTCTCTCTCTCTCTCTCTCTCTATCTCTCCATCTTTTTTTTTTGAAAAAAGGCTTTCTATTTAAATGCAAATAACCATTACAGCTATGACAGTGTCATACAGTTTTTGAAGAACAGTAGAGATAAGCAAGAGCTTAAGATATTGTTTAGAAGCAATACAAGTTCTTAATAAGAAAATGAGATATAGTAGAGCAAAAGGTTTGGAGAGTGAAGTGCATGAATTATCCACGCCCACCTCTTTTACCTCGACCACGCTTTTGATTACCCCGTCCACTAGCTGCAAGATGCGACTGCATCTCTTTAGCCTTTGTAGATGGCTTAACCGGTCTATCCCGAAGAAACACTTTTCCTGCCGGAGACAAGTTTTCTTTTGGGTCCAACTCTTCATCTGAAATTAAAGATTCATCTTCATCATCTGAAGATAAAGAGCTAAAACGATTGGTGAGTAAATTTGAGCTAGACAAGCTCCTGCGGATTCCACAGTTCGCTGGAACAGAATTTGTTGAGACTTGGTTAGAAGTAGCTGAAGGAGTCTCTTTTGAAGAGGCTAAAGGTTTGTGAGATATGCTTGGAGTATTACCTATGAGTTTAGGTGTAGTCAACTGTTCGGAGATAGAATTTGGAGAGCCTTGTCCAACATTCTCTTTTAATGAGAATGATGTGTCTTGCTTTGAGTTTTCCTCAACGATGGTGATCTGATCTTTAGGCTTTATGGCAGTCTCTAGAGCTAAAACTGAATCAGAAGTAGCATCTGCAATAGTATCATCCGCAGTAGTAGCATCCACAGCTGGAGTTATAGAGTGGGGGCCAATCACATTCAAAGCAATGGTAGTATCTCTTTTCTCTTTATCAATCAACATACTTTCTATTTCAATTGCTGAGTTAATACCTGTTGCAACATCCCCATCATTTGGAGAAGATGTCTTGGTGCTTCTAGCTACATCAAGCGGCTGTCCCAAACATCATGACGCTTTGTGGCCTAGTTGACCACATTGTACACACTTCGAAGGCAGCCAAGAGTACAACACATCAACCATTGAGACAGATCCACTCTCATCCTCAATAGCCACTCTTTGAGCAAAGGGTCTATCTAACTTAATCTCAACCAGAATTTTAGCTTCTCCTATTAGAGTAGGATCAAGCCAAGGTTTATACGTAAGCATTGGCTCTCCTATACCTGAAGCGATCCACTTTATTCCTTCAATAGAGTAAAGTTGATTTGGTATGTTCTTAAGAAACAACCACACTGGAATAGTGCTGATTTCTGGCAGTGTAATTGTTTTGGAGGGAGTCCAAGCAGAAACAAACATCAAGCAGTCATCAACATGCCAAAGTCCCCTCTGAATAACAAACTTACGAGTTGCTTCATCAGGAATATGAAACAGGTATGATGATTCTCCTAACTTTTTGGTAAAAATACGACACTTTTTGCCCCATATTCTAGTCAGTACAGCATGAATCAAACCTCCAGGAGGTGCAGAGCAACGGTAAAACTGGCCTACCACAAATTCTTTTTGATTCTCAATTCCTTGAAGAAGAACATGACTTGGTACAGTTACCTTAGGGGTTCCATCCTCCAAGTAGACAGGAACAGCGACCCTGTTAAGATTGCACTGATTTCATCGTTGCTGTCCATGGATACTCTTGAGAAGCAGCCTTAATAATGGGACTAGAATCATCCTGTCGCACTGAAACAGAAGTACGATATGGCGCTGTTTGCTTCTTACCCACCTGCTTTGATAGACGTGGCCATAGAGAATCATCAGAGATACCTGGATTAGAGCTAGGACCATGGTCACTATTGTTAGTTCCCGGATTGAAAGAAGATATCTTAAGTGGAATTGTCCAAACTCCTAGAGATGAAGGAGGAGCTAAAGTTTCTGGAGCTAAGCTGAGGTTTGATTCTAAAGATTGTGGTTTAGGATCAGATATACCAGTGCGAGCATTCTCGAGGTCTTGAACAATCACCTGCGATTGGTTCTTAGAGGAGGTGACAGTGGCGTTAGAGGCAGCAGTGACTTTCTCTCCGAGTTCAGAGCCAGGAGAAACCATCAATTTCTGCCAGATATCCCCTGTCCCAAGAAGTGAAGTTGTCGGTGGATTTGGAGGAGATGGATCCGACTGAGGTTGCGGAGATGGAGGCGGGGTCAAAGACCACTTCTTTAGATACAGCCATCGACGATCTACACTATGGAGATTATCTGTGCAGGAGCTGGGACCGGAGACGTTAAGCTTATCGTTTGCACAGTGAACATTGACATCAGACAAATCTTTTAAATCCATCGGAGGAAAGTAACAATTAACAGTGAAGAGGGTTTAAATCTCTTTGACGGAGCTCTAACGAGCAGTCAGCAACGAAACTGCGACGGTGACGGCAGCTTCGTCGGAGAAGACGCGGGGATGGAGATATGGTTTTCTTCGCCTGGAGAGACAGGGGGAGGAGAAGCGCGTATTCATACGTTATTCTTTGTACTATTTTAACCAGATATGCTCTTTTATATACTATATTTTACCTTTAAACATACATCATAAGAATAAACAGGGCTGGTTCAGAGTGCTAATGGGTCCTTGGGCAAACAAAATTTTTTACATATGTTTGAGTAATTTTAAATTTTGGGCTCTTATTCTAATTTCTTATAAATATTTTGGGCCCATTTTTAACATTATTTTGGTATAAATTAAGTTGGACCCCAGAGTCCATGCCACTCTGCCCCATGCCCTAAGCCGATCTTGCGAATTAATATACTCTTTTATATTAGACACTCTTAAGTTACATTGAACAATACAAATAAATAATATTAATGAAATTATATCATTTCTCATAATTTTACTTTATTTTTTAAGGATCTATACTATATCAAAGTTATGAAAAGAATGGTGTTGATTTTTTGTGTGATATACACACGATTACATGCCCGGAAGAAGATTAGTGTCCATTAATGTGGTGGATTGACACAACTCCAAAGCCATGGCCATTTGGTTCATTATTTCTCTACTATGGCTATCTAGCAATTTGCCTCTACTTTTTAAGCAGGATTTTCAAATTATATTCAATTTTTTTCATGATAATGTAAAGATTTGTTTTTTTATTGTCAGTAGATGGCTTTTTAGCAAAGTCTCTTTCTAGATGAAATATTGTGTAGTTTGTTAATTTTTGAATTTTTTTGGAGCAGATTAAGTAAAGTTTGAGACGGAGCATTTCAATCGAAAAGTGTTGTCATGAAATAGTTTCTACACTACAAGAAAACGATTTTTTTAACTAGGATTATTAACAAGAAAAATGTTTTTTCGTAACATTACGGCGACATTACGTGGAACCATAGTTTCCTCCTAAAGTTTTCGTAACGTATCGAGAAAAGTGTTTCCTCATAAAGTCCTAGTAATTTTACGACGAAACTATGTGGTTTTTCTGGTTTCCTCCTAAAGTACTCGTAAGGTGGGCTAGGAGTTTACGAGGAAATATTAGCTGCGATATTACGAGGAAATTGCAAGGCTTTGTTTATTTTAAATTTAAAATCGTGTATTCTAACAACTTTTCCTCGTAAATTCCTAGTAAATGTTCACCTACCAAATCAAAAAATTTCTATATAAATACGACATTTGTGATTTATTTCAAACGCACCAAAACAAAAGCAGAAGAGTTTTTGGGATATTAAGGAGAATACTCAAATTGGCTCTTGGATGTGGAAAAAGATGCTAACGCTGAGAGAAGTTGCTAGACGCTTTATCAAATGGGACATAGGAGATGGGAAAAAAAAACCTCTTTTTGGTTTGATCACTGGTCGGATAAAGGAGTTATCATCAGCTTATTGGGTGAAAGAGGTATTGTTGAGTTGGGAATTGTCCGGAAAGCCACAGTTGAGGAAGCTTGCTCTCGAGTCAGGAGAAGAAGGAGGTCTCGAAATCCTCTTTTAAATGATATTGTTGATGATATTTTAGTAGTTAAGGAGAAGTTGAGACATGGAGTGGATGATGCTATACTGTGGAAAAGTTCTTCGGGTTATAAAGATAAGTTTTCAACTCGTGAGACTTGGTCGTTGCTGAAAGATGACTTGGAGGATTGTAGTTGGTTCAAAGGGGTTTGGTTTTCATATGCGACTCCGAAGTTTGCATTTATACCCAGGCTAGCAATGTGGAACCGTTTGTCTACTATGGATCGAATTTCGAGGTGGAGTCAAGGTGTTGATGTGAGTTGTGTTCTGTGCAAGAATGCGCCTGAGACAAGGAACCACTTGTTTTTCCAGTGTGCATACTCCTCTCAGTTGTGGGAGCATCTTACCAAAGGTGTTATGGGAGTAAGGTATACTGATGTTTGGGAAAGCATTGTGGCTATTATTCAAGACGAGAGACTTGAGAAAACCAGGAAGTTCTGTCTTAGATATGCTTTTCAGGCAGCAATTCATGCAATCTGGAGAGTAAGGAACAGAATCAATCATGGAGAGAAAGCTATGCCAATGAATGTTATTAAAAAGATGGTGGATAAGGGCATTCGAAATAAGTTGAGTATTATGCGAGCTAGTGGTAAGAAGGATTGGGTGGAGGTTTTGCAATTTTGGTTCTCTACAAGAGTCTAAAGCTTTGTTATCTTAAAATTTTTGTATAGTTTCATGGTTGGTTCTCTATTATAAAGGACACACTTGATGTAAGAAGAGTTTTTTTGATGAATAAATTTAACATTCATTCAAAACAAAAAAAAATCATCTATAAGCTTGAAAGAAAAAAAATGTCCGGTCCTAGAAATATTTTCAGAGTTACGGAGGTGGATGTATACACACAGAGATAATAACGGGAGAGTGACAAAAGAATTTCTCGAAGGGTTGGAGACATTTATGCATCAAGCAAATTCTACACCGCTCACGCATGAAAGTAGTAAGATGTTATGTCCTTGTCGGAAATGCAACAATACAAAATTAGGCCCTCGTGAAAATATTTGGAAGCATTTAATAAATAGATGTTTCATGCCACAATATTATATTTGGTCTCAACATGGAGAAGATTATAGTTGTAGGAATGAAGCTAATAGTAGTAATAGCAATTTTCAGGATAAACTGATCGTTGATCATTTGCATAATGAAAATAGTTATCACCAGAAGAAACAGATGGTAGATTGTGATAGGGTTCATAATATGGTAGGTGATGCATTTATAACTCATGATGATGAAGTTGAAGAACCTAACTTAGAGGAAAAAATTTTTTTATGAAATGTTGGAAGCTGCGAACGAGCCAATTTATAGTGGTTGCAGAGAAGGTCTCTATAAATTGTCGTTAGCTGCTAGAATGATGAGTATTAAAACCGATCACAATCTACCTAAAAATTGCCTTGATGCATGGGAAGACTTGTTTAAAGAGTATTTGCCAGAAGACAATGTGTCTGCTGAATCTTATTATGAGATTCAGAAATTGGTTTATAGTCTTGGCTTGTCCTCGGAGATGATAGACGTTTGCATCGACAACTGCATGATTTACTAGGGAGATGATGAGAAGTTAGAAGAATGTCGATTTTGTAAGAATCCACGATTCAAACCGCAAGGTCGAGGGCGTAATAGGGTACCGTACCAAAGGATGTGGTACCTACCAATCACAGACAGATCGAAAAGATTGTACCAATCTAAGGAGACTGCTGGAGGGATGAGATGGCACGCCGAGCATACTCAGACGGATGGAGAGATGACTCATCCATCAGATGCAAGATCTTGGAAACATTTTAACAATGTACATCCACATTTCGCTAGCAATAGCCGAAATGTGTATCTTGGATTATGCACTGATGGATTTAGTCCATTTGGAATGTCACGGAGACAATATTCATTGTGGCCAGTCTTTCTTACACCGTACATCCTGCCACCGGAGATGTGCATGCGACGAGAGTTTCTATTCTTGACCATATTAATACCTGGTCCAAAGCATCCAAAAAGGTCTCTCGACGTTTTCCTACAACCACTGATAAAAGAGTTGAAATATTTGTGGTCAACATGGGTGAGGACATATGATTTTTCAACGAAAACAATTTTACGATGCGAGCGATGCTTTTTTGGACCATAAGTGACTTTCCTGCATATGGGATGTTGTCTGGATGGACTACACATGGGAGATTACCTTGTCCATATTGTAATGGAATGACATATGCGTTTCAGTTGAAGAATGGTAGGACGACAACTTGGTTCGATTGTCACCGTCGATTTCTTCCACTTTACCACCCATACCAAAGAAACAAGACATTGTTCACTCACAAAAGGGTGGTCAGAGACACTCCTCCTCCATATTTAACTGGAGAACAAATTGAAGCGCAAATCGATTACTATTGTGCACTAGAAACAGTTCCTCGTGGTGGTAATTGGCATGTTCCCAGTAATATGCCAGATTCTTATGGTGTTCAACACAATTGGCACAAGAAGAGTATATTTTGAGAGTTGCCATATTGGAAAGATCTTCTTTTCCGCCACAACATCGATGTGATGCATATAGAGAAGAACTTTTTTTAGAAAATTGTGAACACTATATTGAATGTCACAGGGAAGACGAAAGACAACATAAATCGAGGTTGGACTTACCCGATATCTGCTCAAGAAGTGAGTTACATATAAAAAGCAATGGGCAAGTTCTAGTTCCGATATTCAGACTGTCATCAGAAAAAAGTCAGTGATGTTCAACTGGGTGGCTTCAGAAGTGAAGTTTCCTGATGGGTATGTTTCAAATCTCTCAAGATGTGTTGAGAAAGGTCAAAAGTTCTCCGGGATGAAGAGCCATGATTGTCATGTCTTTATGCAACGACTACTTCCTTTTGCATTTGCGTAGCTACTACCAGCAAAAGTACATGAAGCACTTGCAGATAATATAATACGCAAGCATTAATTAATTTCTTTATATATATATAAATAAATATATATATATATATGTACATATAATATGATTATAGTAATGAGTTTAATTTTTGTAATATATAAGGAATTGGAGCATTTTTCAGAGATATGAGCACACGCACTCTTAAAGAGGATCTTGTTCAACAACTTCATGAGAACATCCCCATCTTAATGTGCAACTTGGAGAAACTATTTCCGCCAACATTTTTTGACATCATAGAGCACCTAGTTGTCTACCTTCTGTATGAAGCGTTGCTTCGTGGACCTGTACATTACAGATGGATGTATTTGTATGAAAGGGCCATGAAAACTTTAAAAGGAAAAGCCAAAAACCTCGAAAAAGTTGAAGGTTCTATTGTTGCGGGAAGTTTGACAGAAGAAACATCACATTTCACATCGTACTACTTTGCACCGAAAATACGTACAAGGAAACGAGCTCCAAGAAGATATGATAATGGTGGTGTTGTGCCGACATATATGGAAAAAAGATGTTCCAGACATCTTTTGTCAAATTGGGCGACTGGATGGGAAATTGAAGGAGGTTTGGTGGTCGAGTGATAAAGATGTCCATAGTGCACACATTTATTATTCTCAAT